CATAGTGAGGTTGGAGGCTCCAAGGCTGCAGCCCTGGCAGGTATGGGATCCTGACAAGGATCCATCCAACTTAGTTTCTTTTGAGAATAAATCCAAAGGAACCTCTTCATTGTTGACTTTCTTCAAGGTTAAGAGCAGCTCCTTTGATCTCATCCTTGGCTTCATTATTGTTTCCTGAAGTTGATCCAGTTTTTGTGTAGTATCTTCTCCAAATATGGTGCCTATAAATTGCACTTGTACTTGAATTGGTGTCTTGCCATCCACAAAGTTCACTCCTTGAGACTATGAATACATTTGCCTTCTTTCCATGAGCATCGTGTTGCTGACTCACATTCAGTTTACAATCAACTACTGTTTTAAGATCATTTTCACAAACACTCTTATCAAGTCTGGTGTCTGTCTTCCTTTTCCTTGTGCATCATCAATGACAGCACCACCAAATTAATTACTTGTCTGTCATCAAATCATTAAAATACTACCTCTGTTACTGAGTTATTATAATCATTGACCAGTATAGATATATAATACTATGAGAAAAAACAAACAAACTCTTAAAAGATCTACATTGTATCTGGCATCCATTTGTTCTTATACAAGATTATATAGCATATCAAGTCCTAGTTGCTAAAGTCCTAATTGCTAAAAATGAGATTTTTCTACTGCATTTTATTAATGCATGTTTTCTATAGGAAATTATGTTTTTTTCTGAAAGTTTGGTATTATTGAAGATGATTCAATTTTAATTATCCATTTAATTATTGTACCATCCTGCCCTCATTTAATTAGGTTCCTAATCATCAAATCAGAAATTTGTTTGTTAATGCTTTACCAGAATCAATTTATATTATCAGCATTCCCTCAATCTATTAAAATGTTTAGTCAGAGAAGAGAAGGGGAGTCAAAACTGAATAACGGGCAGAGAAAAAAATCAGAAAAATCCTCCCTAACTAAGGCTGTAAAAAGAGTTGGTGAGACATTTGTACTTTCAGACATGCAATGTCATCTCATCCAGCAAGATGAGCAACCTATAAATTTGACAGATACATATAAATTTGATAAATAAATAAATGAGGGCTCCTTGGTGCTCTCTGAGCTTGCTTGTTTTCCTGCAGACGTTTTCTTATCCTAACTAGGTAACATCATCAGAGCTAGTAAGGAGCGCTGTTTGCTGTCCGTTTATAAACTAGCATTGGTGATGTTAACCTAGTTAGGGTAATGAAACATCTGCAAGAAAACAAGCAAGCTCAGAGAGCACCAAGGACCCCTCATTTCAACCCTGAGCTACAAATATTCTCCTTCATAAATAAATAAATATTATCTTAATGTGGCCTTAACATAAAAAAAAAGAATTAGTTCATCTAATCATGTTTCCCATTTTGAAAATCCATGCTTTTGGAATCCACCTGTTGCTTTCAAGAAGCTTAGGAATATTCTCTTTGTCCAATGTATTTGTGACCTTTTGTATAATGTTCCCCTTAACTGTCAAATAGTTTGAATTATACTTTTTTCAATATGTGACATTGTCAATATGTTTGGCACATTTTGCTGAACTTTTCTTTTTCACTTTTGAAGGTAGGGGTAAAATTTGCGCTCCCAGCTAAGAACATTTGCAAGTTAGACCACCATAGAAGAAAAATTCAAATAAGAACAAGGAATAAGTTACCAAGAACAATGCTTTTAAAATTCCTACATGTTCCTATTATAGCTCCATCCCTTTCTGGAGAAGAATGAGTTTTTCAATCATTCTACATTCAAACTGTACTGGGATCAAAATGGAGATTTAGCAGGTGATATAAAAATCATTAACTGGCTGGTTTCTCCCAAGATGGTTCTCATCAAAAACAACCTAGGATATTTTGAAAGAGAGAGATTTATCATCAGCCAAGATCATCTGTTACAGCTACAGTTGCTCAACAAGGTGGGAGAACTATTGATGTCTTCTCTCTAATTTCAAATAGGCTCTGCCCCATTTCATTGAGCTGCATGAGCATGATAGGAGAGCACCTCAAGTGCTAGGGATTGTGATTTGCTTGCTCCTTGTCCTCAAATAGCAAAGAAAGTGGTAATTCTGTTGACCAATGCCTGAATTCAGGTTTGGATTGAATTGAATGAAATTGAATCAAGACTGAATGGAGGTCCTGTTGGTCCCAGTGGGGAAAAAAATCTTTGGAATCAGAATTTACTTTGCAATACTTGGGGCCAACATGGCAAGATGTTTTAAGCAATCCAGACTTGGCCTAAGTTATTCATTCCAATCTTTCACCCCACTGTGATAGTGCAATAGGCTTTCTGCTCTTATGAAGGCTTTCTCTTACGTGGAATCATACTGATTCACATAATAATGTGCCCTAAAAACTGAAGCCCTAAAACATGACTTTGACTCAAGAGAAAAGCCCTGGCAGATATGTGAAGGAAAGAAGAACAATTTGAAGCAAAACACTGCTTAGATTTGGACTTTGGCTTGTAAGACAGCACAATATCTGAAAATACCTTGAATGCAATTTTTCATCTTGATTGTTACCTGCCTCAAGTCTGCTGAAAAAAAAGAGATTCCAAATTTAAGTAATAACAAATATGGGTTTGTTCCTCCACGCCAGTTGTTGTTACTTAATTGTCGTTCTTCAACAGAAAGGAGTTTTCTTGGATACCTAGTTGAGCTTTAGAAATGTCTCTTTCTGACATAGGACTCATACCTATATCCCATGTGCTGGAGAAATAGATGCCAGAGTTACCCTTTTGAAGGATACATTCTCATGACCTCAACTCCCTCTCCCTTCACTACAGTTCCAGAAACTGAGCAGTCAATTTTACTGTTATTTCAATAGCATGTCATCATATCAGGGTGCTTACGCTAACATATTTTCTTTGGAATTCCTTTTTTCCCCCAGCTTAGACTCTTCCTCAGTCCAAATGTGTGGAAAAATGCCATCCTGGATTTGTCAAGCAGAAGAGAGAAGGAGAACCAGTTTGTTGCTACGATTGTGTTCCTTGTCCAGCAGGGACCATTTCCACTCAAGAAGGTGAGTGACACCAAAGAAAAATGCAGGTCTTGTGGAAGTAGATTCATCCAGAGAATTTTCATAAAGGGCAAATTATAAGACAGCTTAAAGCTTAGCTGTTTTCTCATTTATTTTCAAGTTGCACAATTTGTAATCTAAAGGGAAGAATACCAAAAAGATCTTGAAGGAATATCTGGACAAAGATAGGAGGGTGTGGCAGATGGGCCAGGTTTTTACTATGGCCAGAAAAAATGCCATATGTTTTTTTTTTTTCAATGTGGTCTTCCATATTTACCTCTCTAAGAATATCTGAGTTTTTTGAAACTTGAAGAATTGTCTTAGGCCCATCTCCTAGAATGATTGTTGCAATGCATTCTACATGGGCTTTGTTGGAATATTCATGAGCAGGAAGAGTCATGTGGTAACTCAGTCAGCCAATGTGAAGAAAGTGCAATAGGGAGTTTGTTATATCTATCACAGTGGTCCAGACCAGACATAGCTTGTGCAGTAAGCATTTTGAGTCGTTTTATTGCTGCACCTACAAAGTTACATTGGATGGGTGTAAAAAGGGTTCTCAGATATTTAAAGGGAACCATAAATTTGGATCTTCAAATACAGATTACTGAGGAATTGAAATTAAAGTGTTATGTCGATAGTGACTATACAAATGACATAAACACAAGGAAATCAAATTCTGGGATTATAATATTGTTTGGAGGGACTCTGATTGGATGGAAGTCCAGAAAACAAACAATTGTTGCTATTTCAACAGTGGAAGCAGAATTTATTGCTTTATCTGAATTGTGTTCTGAAGTAACATGGTATGTACAGTTGTTGCAAGATATAAATATTAATGTAAAAGAATCTGTAAAGGTATTTGAAGACAATGCTGCCTGTATAAAAATGGGAACTGGTGACAGGGTGAAGAACAGAAGTAAACATGTAGACATTAAGTATTGTAATGTCAGGGAAGCTGTAAAAGGAAAATTGATTAGTTTACATCATTGTTCTTCTGAGGATAATTTGGCAGACATGATGACTAAACCATTGGGTAGTGTTCACTATGGAGAATGTATTAAGTCAATAGGTCTGATGTCTCTTCCTGTCATGAAGGGAGGAGTGTTGGCTGACTGAGTCATGTGGTAACTCAGTCAGCCAATGTGAAGAAAGTGTTACTGAGTCTGTGCAAAAGGTATTGAGTTAGGAGCTGAATTTTCAGTCTCAGGTTTGTCTCTGTATCTCTCTGTAAGAAGTCTTCATTGAGCTATGTTGCTGTAAAGAAGAATGTATGGTATTGTAAATATTTTGATATGAATATAAAAAAGTTATTTGAATCAGCTAAATGCAGTCAACTTTGAGAGCTTCTGATTTATTTTTCACCAACAGAGAAATTAAAATTCTCTAACAGGCTTCCCCCTGAGGATCACTGAGAAGGTGTTGCTGGTCCACAATGAGGTGATGTGTACAATTATGTGTGCAACTCATTACACAAAAATTACTGCTGCTGCCAGTAGCCATTCCAGATTATTTGTAGGACTAACTTTTTCTACCAGCCAAGTAAATTTTACAAAAGAACTATCCTCTGGTTTCCCATACATTAACAAATAACATCTTACATGATATAGAAAGTTTGCCTAGAAAGATAAACTGATTCATTTTTTACCTCTGATAATGTATTTTCCTATGAAGGTTCTGCACATTATAGGGGAAATCATTAATGACCTATAAATTCCCCCAATTAGGTAGACCTTAGCAATAGGGATTAAAACACACACACACACACACAGAAAGAGAGAGAGAGAGAGAGAGAGAGAGAGAGAGAGAGAGAGAGAGAGAGAGAGACTATTAGACCACTCTTATTTTTGGAGGGTTTGGGGGGGGGTCAGCTGTAACAAATGCTTCTTTGAAAATGCTCATGGGGTCAGCTGTTATCCCAAAAAGTATTTCTTTAAAAGTGACAGAACAGAATATCAAAGAATTGATGCTTTTTGGTTTTTTCAGATACAGAAAAGTGCACCAAATGTCCAGATGATAAATATCCAAACGAGGACCGGATCCACTGTATCCCCAAAGTTATAACCTTCCTGTCTTATGAAGAATGTCTGGGTATTATCCTGATCTCTTTTACCCTGTTCTTGTTCCTAACCACAGGCCTTGTTTTAACCCTTTTCATCAAATACCGAGACACTCCCATTGTCAAAGCCAACAACCAGGACCTCTCTTACATCCTCCTGGTCTCCCTCCTGCTTTGCTTCTTGTCTTCTTTTCTCTTCATTGGTCAACCAAGTAAAGCCACCTGCCTTCTCCAACAAACAATTTTCAGCATCATTTTCTCAGTTGCAATTTCTTCTCTTTTGGCCAAAACGATCATAGTAGTGCTGGTTTTCCTGGCCACAAAACCAGGAAACCGAGTGAAGAGGTGGTTGGGGAAGAGCTTGGCCAACTCCATCATCCTTTTTTGTTCTGCTGTCCAAATTATCATCTGCTCCATCTGGCTGGGAGTTTATCCCCCATTCCCTGACTCTGACCTCCACTCCCAGACTGGAGCGATCATCCTGCAATGCAATGAAAACTCTATTGTCTTGTTCTACATCACCCTTAGTTATATGGGCTTCTTAGCTACCATCTGCTTCATGGTGGCTTTCCTAGCCAGGAATCTACCTGGATCCTTCAATGAAGCCAAGCTGATCACCTTCAGTATGCTGTTCTTCTGCAGTGTCTGGGTGAGTTTTGTGCCCACTTACCTGAGCACCAAAGGAAAATACATGGTAGTTGTTCAGATCTTCTCCATCTTGGCCTCCAGTGCTGGTCTTCTGGGCTGTATCTTCATCCCCAAGTGCTACATAATCATTCTGAGGCCAGACCTAAATAAAAAGGAGCAGCTTACGACCAGAAGAAATGTAGAAATGTGAGACAGGGGAATGTCAACTCTCAACATGTTCCACCAACAGGCCCAACCTAGAAAATGGTCCAAGCTGTTCTCCAGGGATGACTAGGCCAACATTTTTGCTTCAAATTGTTAAACAGCAAGCAGAAGTTAAGATTGTGAGGAAAGCAAGTTCTATGAGTAGTGAGAGAGGATTAAAAAGCTGGGAATACAGAAGAATTGCATGTGGCAACTATGACACTTTTGTTTCTCAGTACATTTTACCAAAACTGCTATGGCAAATGCAATGGATAGTGTTTCTTTTTATTTAGACAATAACTCTTTCTTGAGGATAGTAAGGAAAAACAACTCGAGGCTTGCTAATTATGAATATTCATGCTACATCATGTATTAAGCATGCATATGTACCATTATCATTTTGTCCTCTTTTCCTGAAATGTATCAATATGAGTGCATCCTTTTGTCTGCAGGATTTCCTCCCACTATTTTCTAGGAAAATTCCTTCAGTCTACATTGAATAAACAGTCTGCAGTGAGCCTTGATTATTGGATTTTTGGGGTCCTGTATTTTTTTTCTACAGAAACTGGTGCCAGCCATGAGATTCACAATCTAAACCCTGGTGGATTCTGTGTGATTCCATACATTCAGATTTGAGACCTGGTCTTGCTTACAAACGACAAGGATGAAATGTCAGTTTTCTCCAATCGTTTGGTGCACCTGAGCTCATTGGAAGTCAAGGAAGAAGCATAATAAAGATGGTGTGAGGGAGGGGGGGGTCTTCCTATAATCTCACAATCCCTTCTTTCGTGCGTGTGTATGTATATGTGTGTGAGATTTACAGTCTTCATGTTGTTCATAGGGACAACACGCAGGAAGTTCTATAATGTGGGTGCTTTTAAACTGATCCCGTGTCTCTGCTCATTTCCAAATAATGGCACCATTTAGGAGGCTGTGTAAAGCAACCATCTGTGTTTAAAAATCAGTTTTAGCTCTCAGCCTTCACTCTTTTTCACACATTCACCGAGTTTGGCAAATAGCAAGAAAATCTGAATCATCCTCTACTACAAGGATCCCCAACCCCCGGTCCATGGACTGGCACTGGACTGCGGCATGCCAGTAACTGGCCCATGCAAACAAGCAAAGCTGCATTTGCTGGATGCAGGCAACATGCAAAAACACGCCTCCTTCAATTCACAGAAAAACCTTTCTCCATGGAACTGGTCCCTGGTGTCCAAAAGTTGGGGGTCACTGCTCTACTAAACCTACAGGAATATCTTTGAACTTGCAAATGAAGCATCAGCATTTGCAAATCCTTGCCACTAAAAAGGAAGTAACAAATTATTAGTTAGTAAAGGAAGCTTTGTCTTTGCAGTGAATGGGCTAAACCCTTTTTAATATTAAAAAAATGCATTTCAGACATCACTGTCTGCAAACTTCTAGGAAGGAAGGGTCTTAGAATCATATAATCATAAGTCTGGAAAGGACCTTGGAAGTCTTCTATTCCAACCCCCTGCCCAAGAAAAAGTCCTTAAATCGTTATGAAAAAATGGCTGTCCAACCTTCTCTTGAAAACCTCTAGTGATGGTGCATTCACAACAAATTTGCAGACGACACCAAACTGGCAGGAATGGCCAACATTCCAGAAGACAGGCTTAAGATACAGAAGGATCTGGACAGACTTGAACACTGGGCACTATCTAACAAAATGAAATTCAATGATGAAAAAAGCAAGGTTCTACATTTAGGCAAGAAAAACCAAATGCACAAGTACAGCATAGGTGGCACCATGCTCAATAGTAGTACCTGTGAGAGGGACCTCAGAGTCCTAGTAGACAATCACCTAAATATGAGCCAGCAGTGTGCTGCAGCTGCCAAAAAGGCCAACACAGTGCTAGGCTGCATTAACAGAGGGATAGAATCAATATCACATGAAGTATTAATACCACTTTACAAGGCCTTGGTAAGGCCACACTTGGAATACCGCATCCAGTTTTGGTCACCACGATATAAAAAAGATGTTGAGACTCTAGAAAGAGTACAGAGAAGAGCAACAAAGATGATTAGGGGACTGGAGGCTAAAACATATAAGGAACGGTTGCTAGAATTGGGTATGTCTAGTTTAACGAAGAGAAGAACAAGGGGGGACATGATAGATATTTCAATATCTCAGGGGCTGCCATAAAGAAGAGGGAATCAAGCTATTTTCCAAAGCACCTGAAGGCAGGACAAGAAGTAACAGGTGGAAACTAATCAAGGAGAGAAGCAACCTAGAACTACGGAGAAACTTCCTGACAGTGAGAACAATTAATCAGTGGAACAACCTGCCTCCAGAAGTAGTGAATGTCCCAACAGTGGAAGTTTTTAAGAAGAGACTGGACAGCCATTTGCCCGAAATGGTGTAGGGTTTCCTGCCTGAGCAGGGGGTTGGACTAGATGACCTCCAAGGTCCCTTCCAACTTTACTATTATTATTATTATTACTCTGAGAGCAAAACTGTTCCATTGGTTTACTGTTCTCCCTGTCAGGAAATTCCCACTTATTTCCAGGTTAGATCTCCCTTTGATGAACTTCTACACACAGTTTCTTGTCCTGCCTTCAGGTGCTATCAAGAATAAGTTGACCCCCTCTTCTCTGTGACAGCCCTTCAGATATTGGAAGATGGCTATCGTGACTCCCCTGAGCCTTCTCTTCATTTGGGTAAACATATCTAGTTCCCTTAGCCATTCATCATTTGATTTACCTCCAGACCCTTTTGTTGTTCTTCTCTGAACTCCTTCTAGAGCATCAGCATCTCTTTTGCATCTTAGAACATAGAATAGAATAATAGAGTTGGAAGGGACCTTGGAGATCTTCTAGCCCAACCCCCTGCTAGAGCAGGAGATGGTATGCAATTTCAGATAAATGGTTGTCCATTCTCTTTTTGAAAGTGATGGAGCACATAGAATTTCAGAAGTCAAGCTATTCAATTGGTAAATTGCTCTCACCATTAGGAAATTTCTCCTTTGTTCTAGGTTGCTTCTCTCCTTGGTTAGTTTCCATCCATTGTTTCTTGTCTTGCCTTCAGGTGCTTTGGAAAATAGTTTGACCCCCTCATCTTTGTAGGAGCCCCTCAAATAGTGGAACACTGCTATCATATATATCCTAGTCCTTCTTTTCATTAGACTAGACATACTTAATTATTGTAATCATTCTTACTGTGTTTTAGCCTCCAGACCCCTTGTCATTCTTCTCTGCACTCTTTCCAATATCTTTTTTTGAATTGTGGCGACCAGAACTGGATGCAGTATTCCAAGTGTGGTCTTATAAAGCTTTGTAAAGTGGTTCTAGAAGTTCACATGATTTTGATTGTATTCCCTAAGGATGGGCTGCAGCCCGAGTCCAAAAGCTTGGAAAAACTAAACCTCTGGTCATGGTGACTGACCCAGATTGGATCCTGCAGCATTATCCTGGGACACAATATATTCACCTTCATTTCTCCTTCCTCTTTACTCCCTACCTCCTTATATGATTGTTTATCTAGTGTTTTTTGCTTGGAATTAGGTTCTAAAGGTGATGAACATTGGCCACCCTCCCCCTTCAATTTTAATTTAAAGCCCTTCTGATAAGATGAGCCAGTTATTTTCCAAATATATTCTTCCCAGTTCTTGTGAGATTCAATCCATTCATTGCCAGGAGCCCTTCATGTAGGTAATGCAGACCATGGACTAGGAAACTGAAATTTTCTTGACGACATCAGTTTTTAAGCCAGTGGCTCATTTCTAAAATCCTTTGCTCCCTCATTGGATGTTGGCCTTTTTTGGGAAGTATACAGTGAGGGGAAAAAAATATTTGATCCCCTGCTGATTTTTTACATTTGCCTGCAGACAAAGAAATGATCGGTCTATAATTTTAATGGTAGGTTTATTTTAATAGTGAGAGACAGAATAAAAAAATCCAGAAAAATGTATTTCAAAAAAGTTATAAATTGATTTGCATTTTAATGAGTGAAATAAGTATTTGACCCCTTCGCAAAACATGACTTAGTCCTTGGTGGCAAAACCCTTGTTGACAATTACAGAGGTCAGACGTTTCTTGTAGTTGGCAGCAGGTTTGAACACATCTCAGGAGGGATTTTGTCCCACTGCTCTTTGCAGATCCTCTCCAAGTCATTGAAATTTCAAAGTTGATGTTTGACAGCTTGAACCTTCATCTCTCTCCACTGATTTTCTATGGGATTAAGATCTGGAGACTGGCTAGGCCACTCCAGGACCTTAATGTGCTTCTTCTTGAGCCACTCCTTTGTTGCTGAAATACCCATCCATGACCCATTTTCAATGCCCTGGCTGAGGGAAGAAGGTTCTCACCCAAGATTTGATGGTACATGACCCCGTCCATTGTCCCTTTGATGTGGTGAAATTGTCTTGTCCCCTTCGCAGAAAAATACCCCCAAAGCATAATGTTTCCACCTCCAAGCTTAACGGTGGGGATAGTTTTTCTTGGGGTTATAGACAGCATTCCTCCTCCTCCAAACATTGTGAGTTGAGTTGATGCCAAAGAGCTTAATGTTGGTCTCATCTTTTTGATAGTTCGCTAAAAAATTTAAAATTTCTAAAAATTAAATATTTTCTCTGTTGTGAAGTGTCAGTTTACAATAGCTTACAAAAGTTCTTGGCCCTTTATTCTCTGCCTTGAAAATTCATCATTATCTTCCCTATTTTTGAAGTGTCATGTTTTTTTTTTCCTGTGATTCCTTTCCCCTCTTAGATCATTAAAAATTTCTTAAAGAATTAAAATAAACATTGTTTTCAATTTGGTTAAACTGAAAAAAGAAATTGAAAAATTGAAAAAAAAAACATTTAAATTTGAAAAAGAAATTGAAAAATTGAAAAAAAAAGTAATTTAAAACATTGAAAAAAGAATATAAAAATTGGAAAAAGAAATTTAAAATTTAAAAATTTGATTTCTTTTAAATTTAGAGATTTTAAAAATATGAAAATTTGCAAAAGTTTTTGGCACCTCTATGAAGTGATATGCACTTCTTTTTGC